TAGAACTAGACTTTTTTAGGAAAGAAAATATGACACAGGATTTTTGGTTTTATGGTAGATTTTTGGTTTTGTGCCCCGGGATGTAATATAATTCTGTAAACCTAAAAGCAAAACCTTTCAGCATGTGTATTTTGCAATCTCCGAGGAGCACATGAAGTGATACATTCTGCAGCATCATCTAGGGCTTTAGAAGTGTAAAAAAGTGAGATCTAATATGTAGTGTGTAGAAGTTTTTTGGTGTATGTATTATCAGATGAGCACCACATTTAAATGTGTAGCTACAGTCCATAGAGCTTGGAATTTCAGACATTGTTTCCGTTATCCTTTGAATAGAAACAGTCAAAGAATGGATCTGGAAGCCAGCAGGAATTTGACATCTGAGCAAAAAATAAGTGTGTTTAGCTCTTATTTTTCTTTCTCTGTGAGCAGTGGTTAGGGTTACTTTTGGGGTTTCCTTTAATTTTAAAGAAACGCTACATCCCCGTTTACTTCTTGTTTCTGTGTAGTAGCAAAATACCATCTTTTTCCACTCTTTTCCCAGTGAAGTTATTTTCACAGTTGAAGTCCACAATTATTTTAATTTCACTAGCTTGAAGCCTTCAGCTAAATAATGTTAAAACAAACCTGGTGGTACACTAGTGTTTCATCACTGAAGTTGCCATCGTTGCTTCAGAAGTACAGCACCCTGAGGCACTGAGTCTTGGCTAACATACCTTCAGATATTTATGCACCGTTCTAATATTGATTCTTCCTTTCCACCAAATTGTGCCTGCTGCTTTGCAGTTTTGTTTTATTGGAACAAACAGATAGAACTTTGATTTTGAGGAGCAGAGAGATGTGGGAAAGGGTTGGGCACAGGTTCAAATCATAATGATGCAGTGATTTGCTTCAGTAAACTGATCAATCTCAGTAACTTTTTTAAAACCCATTTTCTAGAGTTGCCGTCATTATCTTTCATGCAACCTACAGTGAGCATGGCTGCTGGGGCACTTTACTGGTTGCTGAAAAAAGCTAAAGATGACTGGAAGACCAGAAGGAATGAATTCTGGTCTTCATGGGCAGGGTGAGAATTTACAGTGTCAGTCTATAGATTTATGTGATCAGTGGCAAGAACCCCACCCTATCATCTGCTGTTCTAATTATATAAATATGAAGTGTTTTTCTCTACAGGCTCCTTATTTAGAGAAATGCATGAAGTGGGCTCTGGGCTCAGTATACCATTTCAGTATCATGTGTTTTATGCAACATGGCATTTTTCAAGTGGGAAGCCTGTAACATATGTCTAGAGGTAGATTGAACAGTTTAATTTACTGAAAGCTAAAAACCCTGTCCTCCCTAGTGCCTATTTGCATGCTGTTAAAAATGGTGTTTAGCATGTAGCTTTCACCCTTTTCATTAAAGAATAAGCTTTCTTGCATTTACCACATAGTAAGAGCATGTATGAAATAGTTACTGTTGAATATCTGATGTGTGAGAAATTCATATCCTTATTTTGCAGTAACAGGCATACCTCTTCATATTATAAGACCTAATGCCTTTTAGTAACCTTTTAGTTAACCTCACTGTAGGCAAAAGTTCGACAGTGTTCTTGTTTTTCTGAGGTTGGAAATGTTATTTATGAAAAAATAATTGACATACTGTAACTGTGCAAGCTTAAATAAAGCTGTATATTTTGACTGACCAGTCAAAATAACTGCAAATACATGTTGCAGTATTAACAGACAAGAAAGACATGATCACAGCTGCTCCAGCATACAGTCCTTGATGCTCTAAGGGTTTATTTTGTGATTATCGACCATATATAAGGCTTATCTGGATTCATGGTAGACTCCAATTAATCATTCTTACTGGAGTGCTCGGACACACCCAGCTGCCTCTGCAGCACTCACTGTCCACAATCAAATGTTTCTGCATCTCACAGTGCATCTCTTTTTATCCATATTATCTCCCCATTAGTTTGCCTTTTGGAGATTTAATGAGAAGTCTGTATTGTGTGTATAAATACACCTCACAGTTTCTTGATCAACATGTCATTCCTGTTTTAATAATGAAGCAGCTGAGGTGTTCTGATCAGTGTTTTCAAAGATTATAAAACAGTTTTCAATGAATCAGTGTGTTTTTTCCCTTACTTCATCATTTGTAGGCTCTGTACATCTCTGATTTTATAGATGCACGATGGACAAAGGATTTTTTCCAGAACAATGTATGTTTTACTCCTATAAAAAGAGGAGTCAGTTTTTATGTTCTGCAGTTGTTAAGAAATTTTTGAGTAATCATGTCTTATTAGCTCAGATTTTTTTTTGGCAGGTTTAGAGGAACATTTTACTTGGCATTTTTTGCCATAGAATTTAAGAGAGTATCAATAATAGAGCACAAGGTGAAGAGAATGAGATCAGCTATTGGAAATGTTTATGGTTAAGGAGCCTTTCAACTTAATAGCTTAATATTGCTAAAACGGGAAGTGTCTGTCTGAACCTCAAGGCCTTGGACCGCCATTTTGGGAGACAAGGAGTTAGTTGGGGATGGAAAGACTGGAGTTTGTATTCTTTCTGCTCTGTTAGCCATTGCTATCTTCATGGATCTGACACTCTGTTTATCTGACAGTGCACTCAGTACTGCTTCGCCAGGGAAAATTGCACAAAACAAGCCTAGTGCATCAGCATTTTCATTGTGTATTAAGCTGAGCCTCCCTTCACATGGTCACATCCCCTTTTTAATCTGGGATTCCATGTCCCTTTCCCAGTCCAGCCTGTTTCTGTGGTGTCTATTGCTGGTCTCCCTGAGCTTCTGTTTCTGTGGTTTGAGTGTTTTTTGTGTGGCTGAGTGTTAAGACCTGCAGAACTTTTGGAAGTGGCGTTGTTTGGGGGTTAGGCAATACACTGATTTAGTGTTAGTAGTTTGTCATAGACTGAGGTGATGGCTGCGTTCAAGTTGGATTTCCTCCCAGAGATGATGGTGGACCATTGCTCCTTAAATGCAAGTCCTGTGTAAGTATTTTGTCTTCATGTCCAAGTTGTAACTAAAATAATAGTTAGCGTTGCTGTCTCTAAAGCCTTTGCTGTTTGATGAACTCCCCTTGGGGCAGGGGGCCGGGAAGGAGAGGTAGGAGAGCCTGCAGTTTGTTTTCTTGAATAAATCCTAGTGGTCATTGACAACTGATGTTGGTTTACAAGGGGGAAAAATGGTCTGATAATTGTGGGGATAAGGGCTAAGGAGGAATAAAGCTGTTTGGCATTATTGTTTATAGTATCTACAAGTGCTGATACTATAAAATCAATTATTTAAATCAGTTGTTGGAGAGAACAGTTTCTGTTCTTCCCTATTAATGACACCAGACTAAACCTTTTAATTAGGAGTGAAATAATCCTTGAATACTGCTGAGGTCATATTAAGAGTTGCCCAGTTAACAGGAGCCATGCTGTGCTCTTGAAGCTACGCATGACATAGAAGGTAAGGCTGAAAATTATTTTTGGAAGAGGGTAAATTATTTACAATTTTTTCAATTGAAGTGATAAGAGGTAGCTTACATCTTTGTTAAAAGTATTGTTTTCCTTGGCGATTTGAAGAGGTGCTGACCCTTTCTGAGCGGAAAGGTGGAGAGGAGTGAAAGGATTTTTGATGATACCCTTCCCTTCTAGTAAGAAGCTTTGTTGTTTGTGAGGTCTGTTCATACAGCTATAAAATTATGAGCTTTCCCTGGCATCAGTTTTTCCTTAGGCTCTGAACAGCAGCGTATTGAGGGGAAAATTAAGTAAACATTACCTGGTTTGGATTTTTTTTAAGTTCTATTCAGAGGGAATATGGTTTCAGATGGACAGTGAGAGGAATACTGTTTACTGTCATGTACAGTATTAAGCCATTCAAATGATCTTCAAAGGAAAAAAACAGAGATGAAGTGAGCTGACTACTCTGGAAGAAGACCACCTGTATTCTTCAACAAAGAGTTTGGGGGTGGGGGGAATCATTGTATAGTTATTGTTCCACTCCCCATGTCTTTTCTAGATTATGCAGGGATTGGTCAGCAATTTTAACCTACTAATCACTGTAGCTACAATAGGGTGTCGTTACAGTCAGACTTCCACAGAGATAGGTCCTCTGGTACACCAGGCTGTGACTGCTAATAGATAACAAGACCTCATACTGCATCTAACAAATAATGAGAAGTCAATACAGAGAGCAATGTATGACTCTCAACTAACTGGGTTGAGCATAACACAAGTTTAATTAATAGAGCGTGAGCTGTTGTATGGCTACATATAATGCCTTGAAACCTATTCAAGATTTCCATATTCAAAACTTCTCTGTTGTTGTAGTCTAATAAGTGAGGGTTTTTTCTATGTTAACATCCTGCCATTACTCAGCCTGATTGATTGTGACTAACTGGATTGTCCAATCCCAATCTATTCCTGTACAATCTCAGCCTGGTTTTTTTCCAGTTATTGTTGAAAGCTCCTTAGTTTCACAGAGGTATTGCCTTGTAACCTTTAAAGAAACTTTTAATCTGATCAGTTGTATCTGTTTCTCTCTTTAAAGATGGAAACAGTTACAGTTAGTATCATATAAAAACATTTTTAAAATGTTATCCTCTCATTTTCAGTGGTTACTGATCACTTGAGTGGTTTGCGGGTAGGCTTGAGTTTAGGTTCCTTTCTCTTCTGTTTTTGGTTTTTTTTTCCAATACAATTATACATGGTTGGACTAGTGATATTTTTCAGTTATCTCAGCAGATTTATATCCTGAATCCCAGATGTTGACTACATTATAGGAACAAAGTCTTAAACAGCTATGTAGAGTGTGTTTGATTTCCAAGTAAGCAGATTGCCAATGAATGTGAATATTTTCCTGTGTGCAGTACTGGGAATGTGCAAGAGTCTCTTTTTGTGTGTAAATTTTATTCATATACATCTATATATTTGTAGAAATATTTTTTTTAATCTTACTGTAAGCATTCTTTTGTCTGTGGAAGATATAAACGAGAAATTCCTTCTTGGTTTTCATAGCTCAAAGAAAATGAATGGCACACTGGATCACCCAGACCAACCTGATCTAGATGCTATCAAGATGTTTGTGGGTCAAGTCCCAAGGAGCTGGTGTGAGAAGGATCTAAGAGAACTTTTTGAACAGTATGGTGCTGTCTATGAAATCAATGTCTTGAGGGACAGGAGCCAAAACCCTCCTCAAAGCAAAGGTGAGAACTCCTGTACTTTTCATGTGACACTTGGGCTTTCAGCCAGTTTCACATAGTTGCAGTCTTAGCTGTTTGCTTATTCAGAGATCCCTGTGTGTTGGAGCTCTGTGTGACCAGGTGTGCATGCAGGCCTGAGCTTTACAATCTTTTAAGTGTACTTGTCTAATACTTGAATTGTTATCCAATCATTAGCTGAGCTGAAGAAAATATTTTTTTTTTTTTAGAGCTCAGTAGTGATGAGGATGCTTGAGGAGTATGGATTATAATTGCAAAGCAGAACATCAAATTAATACTCTGTTGCTCCACAACATTGTGATGGAATGAATTTTGCATTGGAAGGATGGAAGTGGGATTTACAATTTCTATACAGCATGTCAAGATTTAGTGTTCTTTCCTGACTATCATTTTGCTTTAATTGCAGGGTGCTGTTTTGTTACATTTTATACCCGTAAAGCTGCACTAGAAGCACAGAATGCTCTTCACAACATGAAGATCCTCCCAGGGGTAAGAGCAGAGCCCTGCTTTCTGCATAACTCTGTCTTCTTTTTCTGAGCTCCAGGACCACTGAAGTACAAACACATGTTATTGTGCCCTCAAATAATGTTTTAAAACAACTATTCAAAAGCTCGATGTCACGAGGTTTATATGATAAGAGATCTTAAGGGAATTTTGGAGCATTTAGGAGAATAATATGGTAGTGAAGTGGGTGGGCATGGCTTTTATAATTCTCTCTGAAGAGGAATGATGGTATGTAATTAGGAAAGCCTTTCTTCTAGGAATTTATGTAATGTTACATATGCACCTCTCTAGAGGCAATTTAGGCTATAATTTCTTTCTTCCACAATTCTTATGGGATGTATTTCATATAATATGCAGTGAATGTATCTAGGATCAAATAATCTTTTTTATGTTTCAGATGCACCATCCTATCCAGATGAAACCAGCTGACAGTGAAAAGAGTAATGGTAAGCTTTACTCAAGTCTGAGTTGGGTGGTATTTGTGCTAATTGGGAAGCTTGAGGATTTCCCTTTTGTTAAACAGCTTTTGATGAAGTCTCGATTGGAGGCCTGATTTTTTAAAATTAAAAAATTAAAAGAGAAAGGTATGTTTTGCATATAGTAGGTAGTGTGAGTGATGTCTCCAAAATTCCATGACTCAGAGTATCTCCCACTGCTGCTGCTTGTGGTAGAACCATGTTGTCAGTTGGGGAAACATCCAGTGAGTTCTTCTTTGTGCTAAGGTGGTTTAAATCTTTGTTGGGGACATGGACAGTGGGATTGAGTGCACCCTCAGCAAGCTCATGGATGATGTCACTCTGAGTGCTGTAGTTGACACCCTAGAGGGGGGGGATGCCATCCAGAGGAGCCTTGACAGGCTGGAGAGGTGGGCCTGTGCAAACCTCATGAAGTTCAGAAGGCCAACTGCAAGGTCCTGCAAACATGGATACAGGCTGGGTGATGACTGGATTGAGACCAGCCCTCAGGAGAAGGACTTGGGGATATTTTTGGATGAAAAACTTAACATAAACTGGCAACATGCACTTGCAGCCCAGACAGACAACCATATTCTGGACTGCATCCAAAGAAGGACTAACAGGTCAAGGAGGGTGATTTTCCCACTCTAGTCCACTGTTATGAGACCCTACCTTTAGTACTGCATCCAGCTCTGGGAGCCCCAGCATAAGACATGGACCTGCTCAAGCATGTCCACGGGAGGGCCATCAAGGTGATCAGAGGGCTGGAGCATCTCCCCTGTGAGGATGGGCTGAGAGAGTTGGGGTTGTTCAGCCTGGAAAAGAGAAGGCTCCAGGGACACCTTCTAGCAGCCTTACAGTATCTGAAGGAGGCCTAGAAGAAGGACAGGGATGAATTGTTTATCCAGGAGTCTAGTGATGGAACAGGGGATAGCACAGTATTAAACTGAAGAAGATTTAGATTAGATACTAGGAAGAAATTATTTACTGTGAGGATGGTGAGACACTGGAACACGTTGCCCAGAGGAGCTGTGGATGCCTCATCCCTGGAAGTGTTCAAGACCTGGTTGGATGGAGCTTTGAGCTGCCTGGTCTAGTGGAAGGTGTCTCTGCCTGTGGCAGGGACTTGGAACTAGATGATCTTTAAGGTCCTTTCCAACCCAAACTATCCTATGATTCTATGCTTGTCCAGTTTGAAGCAAGGCCTCAAGGCCTTTGAAGGAAGTTTGTTGCAGCTAGGGTAGGAGTGAAAACTATTTTTTGTAGTATACAAGAAAGGTTGAGAATTAACAACAGTTCAATAGAGAAGAAAAACAGTATTTCTGCACATTTCAGGTGGATTAAGAATTTCACATCCACCATTGGGTAAATGATCATTTAGCCATGCGTTTCCATTTTGAGTATATATACATACATGCATGCATGTTCAAACATATATGTATTGATATATGCTGCTGCAACATAAACAAATAAAGTGTTTAACATCTTGTAGTTTTAGCCTTTCTAGGCTTGGCTGAATTTTATTTTCTTCATTTGCAGTAAGATTAACATTGCATCATGGAGAAGATAATCCTTGTTTCAGAAAGCTTAGGTCTTAAGATAATTGAAAACAGAAGATGGAATATATGGCATCATACAGTAGGAGTAATTCCATCTGCAGATTCCTTCATGTGTTTATAGAATAAGTTTCTGTGTAAATATATCTAGAAGGGAGTCATTCCTTTGAATTATTATTGGGAGGAGAACAGAATAGGTTCTCTAAGCTAAAATGCATCTTGCTTTACACACACACACACACACACACACACAAATATCCTGGGGAAATAATGGAAAGAAAAAAAGAGTAATGGAATTTTAGGGTGATAATTCTGAGGCTGTAGGTGAGGTTAAGAAGTATTTGAACACTAATAAAAGGGATTCTGGATCTCTTGAACTAAAATGGACTGCAAAAAGTATTGAAAAGCAGCTTTCTGCTCTAAGAACAGAAAGTGAACTAAGTACCACATTAAGATTTAATAGCCAGTTAAAGTCATGTCAGCTGGAATAGTCTGGAATTTTCCTTCCTAGCACCATAGCACACTCAGCAAATAAGTTGATTTTCCCTCACCGTGGCACTGAATGAGAGAAGACTTAATTGAAGCTTCAAATTTTGCTACAGCCTTCATCATACTGTATTTTATATTGTGATGAATGCTGTATTTCTAAACTGGTATTTGTATTTTCAAGTGTTATTCTGCATAATTTGCTTCATCCCACAAAAGAAAGTGTTTTGGAGGTGATTAACCTCCTTAAATAAGCAAATCAAGAGGTATGAAATTCTGCTCTGAATTCAAATTTACCCCACTCCCTCAAGTGACCTTTAACTGACATTAGTAACCACTAACTGAAAAGTTAAAAGAAATGTCTTTCTGAACCATATATTTTAAAATAATCTGCACACTGAAAGGTATTCTTCAACTCTAATGTATTTAGTAGCATCAGGATTCAGAGACAAGATACAGTACCACAGAGTCCATGGCTTGATTTGAGGTGTTATTTTCATGCTTCTGGTACAGATCAGTACATATCACTTTTGGTGCATATTAATAACAGAAATAAAACTGTTCAATTTTTTTGCAACTGCTGTTGCTTGCACTGTTGAGAGAGGAGCATGAAGAAGTAGACACATCTAAATTTAAGTGATTGCTATGATGAAGAGGCTAGAAAGCAGCTTTCTGCAGTTCACTTGCTTGTTTATGTACGGTTAGGTATGTTGGTAGTCTAAAGATAGAAGACGCAGAGGAAGGAGGATGAAAATAGTCCAGTAAACCACATTCAAGTATTTTTTTACCAGGAACTGAAAAGATACAGAGAAGTGCTGAATCTTAACATACTTTTTACCTTTTTTGTTTAACATTCTTGCTGCTCACAGGCTTTGCAAGGAAAAAACAGTGAATTGTGAACATAAATCATCATAGAATAGGCATCCTTCAGGTTCATTGAAGTATCTCGTATGCATCCTCCTTAATTGAAAACACAGTCCATTACTGGGAATCTGGTTGTGATAAGTCTCTACCCTAAATACAGGGTAATAGAGAAGACTTGATAAAATAAGATCTAGTAAGTGCCTATTTGCTGGTAATACTCTCTACCTTTTGATTTCTTAGCAGTAGAAGATAGGAAGTTGTTTATTGGAATGATATCCAAGAAGTGCAATGAAAATGATATCCGAGTGATGTTCTCCCCCTTTGGGCAGATTGAAGAATGCAGGATATTACGGGGCCCAGATGGCCTGAGCAGAGGTAAGCAGGAAGCTTTTTTGGCAGTTGGAGGATACTGCCTTTTGCAACTTAACATGGAATTTAAGCTTTTTCTGTGATTCCCACCTATACCCCCTCCCTGCCCAGTAGGCACTTTGATTTCTGTATTCATCCCAGTAATTGTGGATGTAGTGAAAGATTTGGTTTCTTTTTGCTTTTTCCTCAGGTTGTGCATTTGTGACTTTTACAACAAGAGCCATGGCACAAACAGCAATCAAAGCAATGCACCAAGCACAAACCATGGAGGTAAAACAAGTTAATGGGTGTCAGGAGCAGGTGTAATTTGTCAGGCAGTCACTGTGGAGTTTAAGAGAAGGATAAGTGCAGTATGTGTTTCTTCACAAATACTGCTCCTGGACCTTTGTGTTTGTTCTGCTCCTATTTTTAGAGTTCAAGATAGGAACTTCATCTGCAGAGAAAATACCAAAATACAAAATGGAATTAAAAGCAAACAAGATTTTAAACCTTTAATGAAATGTGCTATTTAAATATATATGTATATATACACATGGGGGGAGAGAGTTGCTTCCAGTGACTGGGTCTTAATGTAGTGTTTTTGTGACTGCTGGGGATAGCAGGGATAGCAGATATGTAATTGTTTGAATTGCTGTTTGCAGGGCTGTTCTTCTCCCATTGTGGTAAAATTTGCAGACACGCAGAAGGACAAAGAGCAGAAACGAATTGCTCAGCAACTCCAGCAACAAATGCAACAGATCAGTGCTGCCTCAATATGGGGAAACCTGGCTGGTCTCAACACACTTGGACCCCAGTACTTAGCAGTGAGTTTCTAATTTGGGTTCTTTCATCTCTTCAGGGATTGCAGTGTCTGACTGTCTTGCAGTGTTTATGGTATTCATTTTTAGAAGGCTTCTGATAGATAGGGGCGGGGCTCTTAATCCCCATTGTGTGGATGAGAAGGCTGAAACTGTTATGCGCTAACATCTGGTCAGGATACATTTAAGGGAGGATTTCCACCCCAGTCACAGTAGCCCTCATTACTGAAACCCTGGGTTTTTCTCCTGCATTCTGTAGAATGACTTTGTGCTTTTTCTTTATATATTACAGCCTTAAAGTTTACCCACATAAATGCCCTTTTCATGTCTCTCTGATGAAATAGTTCTTGTATTCTTTTATCATTTTTCCTTTCTCAGCTCTTTATTTCTGTCATCCTCTTCCAGTGAAACCTGAAACAGTAGTCTGCACTGTCCAAATAGAAAAGGTGATCAGATTGGAAACAGAGTAAAAAAACCCAAACAAATAAACAAAAACCCTATAGAAAATAGATAGAAACTACTCTCTTTAGCAGAAATAATGCAACAGACTGCAGGACTAGGTCTTTGTCACCAACTGCTGTTTGTCACTGACGTTAGTTGATTCTACTGGGTCCTAAGGGATGAACTTTTCATAAACTGATGTGCTTTGACTTATGTGGGTTGCCAGAGTAGTTCTGAGAACTGTATTTTTGCAATATAGGGTCTGAAGGACAGAAAAAGAAAATTTCATCTCATTCTTGATGTGCTGTGTAATTGAAATAGGGCAATTCTCTTAGTACTTCTTTAGTTTTGGTAGATTGAAATTTTTTTACCACAGCTAGTTAATGGAAAAAGGAATTGGAAATCTTTAGCTTCTGAGCTCAGTCTGAAAATCTCTTATGTGTGTGTGCATAAGGAAAGTAGAGAAAGTTCCCTCTCCTAGTGACTCTCTGTTTTTGATATGACATTGCCATTTGTCCCATGCTGGCAGTGTCAGCTGTAGTGTTGTGAGGTAGCGTATGCTTAGGGGTGGCAGTCTTGCCTTAGGTGCTTTGAGTAGGAATTCTCTCTCACACTACTGATTCTGCTGGTTTTGTCTTGGTGTATTAGCTATAATTTTCCCTCACCGTTGATAATGTTGAGTGAGGAAAGCATTGTGCTGTTGCTTTGGCTGCAATGTGATGCATGGGCTGTGAGGATTTTCACTGTGGTGGTGCTCTGGCTGTGTTGCACAAGGGGAATTCTCTTTACGCTTTGCTACAATGAGGTGCATGGGCAGCGGGAATTCATTTGTGACGGCGCTCTGGCTGTGGTGTGATGCAGTTTCTCCCAGAAGCAGAGCCAGCCCTCACTCTCACTCTTGTTTTGTTTTTTGGTGTAATGTCTAGCTTTATTTGCAGCTCCTTCAGCAGACAGCAGCTGCTTCATCTGGGAACCTGAACACATTGAGCAGCCTCCACCCAATGGGAGGTGAGTTTTTTCCACCAGAAGACAAATTAAGTGCCAAACAAAAGAGGATGAGGGTAGAGAAAGTAGCAAAAGGCTGTAGATACATTAATGTAATTTGATATAACTAGTCCTGAGTTTATCCACTGCTTCGGAATGAATGGAATCCTCTGCTGCAAGTGTGGGTGTTTCTTCTTAATCTTAGTTAACTATTGGTCTCCAAGGTAAGTGGTGGTATCTCTCCAACCTCTGGCGTTTTCAATTATCTTCCCTTGTGAATAACAGAGAGTGCTCTCTTTATTTTCATCCAAAGAGGTGCATGTGTGAAGAACTGCCTTTTGAAATAGGCACATTAATGCACATGATTCAGTGATAATGAATTCTTAGTTTTCCCATTTTCAATGTATTTAAGAACAAAGCATTTAAGTTGACAACACAGTGTTGTTAGGAATGTGAGCTAGTCCTTTATTCAGGTTTTTTCATTCATTCATTTTAATTATAATTAATTATGCCATTGCTGTTAGGGAAATACCAGCTTAATAGGTATGAGCCGAATTCTTTGCGGAGGACTGCTCGTCAGAATATTCACTAAGTATAACAGTATTGAGGCTGTAAGTTGATTGTCCCTTCTGTCTTCACAGGGTTGGGAATAATAAAATACATTAATAACTCCATTCACCACATTCTCTAAATTCTTCTGCTCAGTTTTAATACTGAGCACTTCAAGCTTTTAAAATTGCCTCCTGGAGTTTTACAGTAGTTCCCAATGTCACGTGCCCTGTCTGTGCAGATTTTGATCTATAAGTGGGTTTGTACATCTGATTTGTGTTGGTTGGTGCACCCATCAGTAGCAATTACAAGCTTTTGCAAAATGTTATGTTTTTAATTGTAAGAACTTTGATTTTATATTTAAAGTTGATTCTAATGTCAGGTTTCTATACTGACTTTTTTCACATTAGACCTCTTCAGAGCTTTTAGATCTAACATTCTTGCAAAAAATCAATGTTTTTTAAAAATCAGTTTCACTGATATCCTGTAGGGTGGTGATCTATAATGGATTTTGTTATGCACGTGATACTCCTTTTCTCCCCTCTTGTGTCTGTTTAAAAGCAAGTTTTTTTTAATAAAGGAGAAAGTACAATAAGGTCTGGGGCAGGTAGAAGGGGCTAATTAGCTGAGATATCCCCTGAAGTTTCCAGGGTAGTTTTCTTCCCTATTTAAAAAAAACAAAAACAAAAACAAAACAAACCAACCAAACAAAAAAAACCACACACACACAAAAACCACCACACTTAAAAATTGAGAAATCATAGATATGAATAGCATGTTGCAGGGTGTTATAAAAATTATTCCAAGTCTGTGGTTCTTTACAGAAAAGATTGTAGTTTCAAAGTCGTTTTAGTATCTGAACTTCTTTTTTGAAATTCATAGAAAGAGAAATTAAGTAGGTGATTAGATCCCAAAATATATCAGACTTTGTAGACAAAATTTAATCTCAACCCTGTTTGAAAGCAGATGGGAAAACAGTGTGATGACAAGAGGGCAGGTGCAGTGTACATATGACAAACTGCTTCAGTTAAGGAAGCAAACTGCTCTGTTCTTCATGAGCTCCAACACTTGCACTTTTAACCCTCTGTAGCACAGTAAAAGCAAAAAATAAAACCTTTTTTATTTTAACTTCATGTTTTTCTGTTACAATGGCACCTTGAATCTAAATAAAGGCAGAATCCCCTTGTTTTGGGAACTAAACTTGGCTAGGCAAACACACCCTGTTACAAAGAGAAAACAATTGAAAAAGAGACAAACAAACAAACTATACTAAAGGTAGTATATATGACATTGTCACTTATATTTTTGTTGTCTGCTTACATGCTTAAATTACGAAACAGAGCTTTTAGTTACTTGAGATGTGTGCTTTGCCACTAAGTTCTTACTGTGTCCAAAAGATGAGATGCCACCTCTGCCTACAATGTTTTGATGTTGTTAAATAAATGGTGATTAATTTCATTTTGGTTTTAATTATGTTGGGAAGAAATATAATGGAATATTTGGAATTGTTAAAAGAAGCAAAAGTAGAGACAAAAAATGGAAAATAAGGGAAAAGAGAAGAGAGGCAGAATTGGAAGAATGAGCTAGTCTGCCAAAGGACTGTTAAAAACAGAATTCAGAAGAGATCCATTTCAATGATAATCCCACAGCAGGAAAAGAGGGCAAAATTTGGTGCCAGTACTGACCAAATGGTTTCATTAAAAAATGATGACTCAAAATGAAGGTGACTCAAATGAGTAAATTGACTAGTAAAAGTTCATAAGCACAGAGGTATCTTCTTGCCCCTGCAGTATTCCTTGCTACCTGTCTACAATATGACGTTTCCTGGTTTCCTTGCCACTGTGTTTGACCAGCTAACTTCCTTACACAGACATAGGTTGGTCTTGTGGTCAGGAGTTGCCACTTAACAATTATCTCATGATTGACTGTTGTTTCTTGACTGCCAGGGGAAGCAAACAAAACATGCTGATGCTTAGCTGACGGTGGGTTAAAGCTGTGACTCTGTGACCACTGTGGTGTGAGGCTTGCTTGAAAGAATTTTGCAGTTACTGCTGTTCCGTTCCAAGGGAGTGGAGGGACATGAAAGTGGAGGAAGGTATTGGCCTGGTGTCTAGGCAAGTTCTCCAGCTTGCACGTGAGCTGTCAGATCCTGACTTAACTCTCATTTGAAGCTGCTGTGCTTTTGTAACCAGAGAGAACACTGCTTGAAAATTTCTGTACTCTGGAGTCTACATCTGGGGTAATGAATACGTGGCCTTTTCACATACTGAATCACATCAATCCGGGCAAAGAAAAACTTCTTTTTTAATTATAGCAAGGAATGATGATACAGTAAAGATCAGTAACTAGTATTAAGTCTCTCGCTTTTAAGCTTCTTCCTGTTACTCCCTTGTGATGTGCTGAGTTTGCTGGATCTGTTCCCCCTGGTTGGTGGTGACTGTTATAGGAGAAACTCTTCATTCTTCAATGTGTTGCAGGACTGAATGCGATGCAATTACAGAACCTGGCTGCGTTAGCAGCTGCAGCCAGTGCAGCTCAGAACACACCGAGTGGTACCGCTGCACTCACTTCCTCCAGCAGTCCCCTGAGTGTGCTCACCAGCTCAGGTAAGAGACTACCTATGCTGCAGTGTGTTAGGGCATGGGTTGCCTTAGGAGTCATTTCAAGATAGATGTCATCTCTTTTGTCTATCCTTTGTTAGTCATTTTCATGTGGATTCCTTAATACATAAAAAGTTTTACTCATAGATTCACTAGCCTTTGTTTGGGGTAGATACATTTGCTATCAGCAAAGCCATTTTTACCTGCTGTGTTCCTTCCTCCAAATGGTCAGATTAATTTTGAGTAAAAAGACTTTTTGAGGTCATAATAGAAAGGTAGGTGACCTCCTTCCAGTCATGTTATTACAATTTCATCACATACTTGGTGTATCTGTGGTTTTAGGCAGGCTGTGTGGCAGATGTGCCCTGTTCCTCTCAACATGGAAACAGAAAATGCCTTAAGCATGAGGTAATGCATTCTGTGCACTAGAACAGTACTGTTTATATTCCATAGATGAAGAAAAGGATACTTTAACTTCCTCATAGAAGTAGGAAAACAGAAACCTAGCACATGTGCTGGAAAGCAGTTGTCTAGAACACAGTATACAAGTTGCACATAAAAATCTTTCTCGTATGTGGCTTTTTTGTGTTTTGTTTGGGATTTTTAACTTTAGGCTATTTAGAGACACAGAAATGTCTAAGTAGTGTTCTTTTGCTGCCTTACTGTCAAACGTGCTCATTAAAAGCAACAAGCAAAAAATTCTATTATGCTTACAGAAGATGTGCTCAGTTTTTACCACAAATGAGGATCAGTATTCTACTCAACTATTTCTATCCTATTTTGAGTTATTACTAAATCCTGGCATGGGAGGGGAGACCCTGTATATTTACAGTGTCAGTTTTCCAGTATCTGTGGCATCCAGCCTACAGAACTGACATCCTCACCTGTGAATGTGAGAGACCCAAAGGGAGTTGGAGGCGATTTTAAATTTCCACAGGTAGCTTTTTGAATTGTGTAGAAAGATCAAGGAGCTGGACCAAGAGATTAAGAGATTACAAGGAAAAGCGGTTTTGAAAACTTTGTCATATGATTGGGGGTTAAATTATGGGCACTTTGCACAGTTTTCTACTTAAAGAAATTCCCAAGAAGGAATGTAGTTCAAAGAGTATTCTGTTGCTGGACATTTTTACATAAAAACTTTGTGGGCTGCATCCTTAAAAGATTAAAATTTTAAAATTTATCTTTACTCCCAGCTATGTATTTTATTCCATAATTGAAAACCAAACAAAAACCAAACAAAAATTCTGAGTTGAAGATACAAAAGAGCTGCATTTATAACCCAGTAATGCTCCTTCATCATTAAGGGAGCACAAAGGTGAATATATCTCATGATTTCTCCTATATTTCCTCATGCAGTAGCGGAGCTGAAATTGTCAGGTTACAATTTACTGTGAGTGGCATTTAGAACTAAGATTTCCTCATTGGCTGTCTTGTCTAATGATGACTGGAGCAAGTTTTTTCTCCGTTTTGTCAAGGTGGAGGAAGGGGCTGGCAGGTTGTGCAGTTCAAATGTCAGATGTGCTGGAAAAGATGTGGTTTTTTCAGAAGTGTGCAGTGAAAGGACAGGGGCAATGGACAAAGTTGCAACACAGAAAATTCTGACTATATAGAAAAAGAAAATTATTGGCAAGAGTGATTAAGCTCAGGAACCAGGTACCAGAGGGGCTGTGGAATCTCCGTCATTTCAGAGACTGAGAATACTTCTGGAAAGGACCATGAACAGAGTGACCAAACTCAGAGGTTAGACAAGCTCTCAACAGACCATTAGAATGGATGATCCACAGAGGTCCCTTTCAACTGAAGTTATGCTATTATTGTGTGATTCTTTGAAATTTTTTCCCCCTCTGGGAATTTTGCTGTTTCACAGAACTATGCAAATTCTTTTTCCCTTGATGAAAAACATATTTCAGGACTCTGTTCCATTTTTGATCATGCTGGTGGAGCGGCTAGGGAGTGGGGAGCAGCTCATTTTTAAGTACTTTCTGTGCTGAATCCAAATAACCTTCTGATTGCTGGTCATATCAGTAAATGATTGTGTGTCAACAATTAAGTTATCATGATGGGACATTTGAATTAATATTCAATACAGATGTATCTGTTCACTCTTCAGAGGCTTATAAGATGAAGCAGTCTTAGGTACAAAAGCAAACTTGAAATTCTCTTTTGATTAATATTTATATGCACTTTCACTCTGTATGTATTCACATGGACAACTGTAGGAATCCACACAGAAGGTATCTATCCCTCCTGAACCACACCCAGACCTTGAAAAAACCTCAGTATATAGCAGTTCAGTACTATGTAAATGCCTGCCTTGTCTGTGGGATATATGGCAACATCTGCTGTGATAACCTCAAACCTAACTGCAGATAAGATGGCTACCTCCTTGACTTCTCTCCATCTGTCATCCAAATGTTCACCTGATGCTTATTTGGACATCTCTCTTCAAATTGCATAATTGGTGGAAAAATCCAGGCAGTCCTTCTGCATAGTTACCTTTTTTGTTTTCTTTCATCTGCACTGATATCATTTGTGTCTCGGGAACTTGGAAGTCCACACCGTGCAGTCTGTGGACTATGGATAGGCTAAATGTCAGAATGGTTGAACTCAGTGGTGTTTAGTATTTTTGTTGTGCTGTCTTCCTACCCATTTCAGGCAATATTTTTAGATAGTTCCGAGCAGTATTGTGTGTTTTGACATAGACTAGGATGAAGCAAAACCTTCAACCTTGCTGAAGATAAACTGCTCTTTGGAACTGAACAATCTACTGCTGTACACACCTTTAGCTAACCAATGTTGCAGAGACCATGGCCTTATATAAACTCATTTAAACTGCTAACTTGTGAAAGGGATGTTCCAGAAAATATTATAGAAATATCTCAGGATTGCAGTGTCTTGTCTGCCATCTTTTTGACTCTGACACCGGTAAGAATTGTCTGCTCCAGAGCAAAATAGAATGGTTGCAAATGCTGAGGTATGTTTCCATTTCTCCTCCTTCTAAAGGCAACCATCAAAGATCCAGCAAAGCCTAGATGATTTTGGTGGCCTTAGTGTGTTCTCTGGCAAAATAGTTTTCAGAGAAATAAATCATAGTATTTCTGGTTTTACTAGAACTAATTCTGACAGTTCAGTCAGATTCATTGCCTGAATTTAAGTTCTCTTCAGCTCATTGCCTGGATTCAGATGACTGAATTAGGACAGCCTCCACAAGTTTTTACTTGATGTCCAAGTTTCATTATCTTTCCTAGCTGTTCTTTATTATATATTCAAATTTTTGCTTCTTTTATGCATATTCAAACCTTCTCAAATACTTTCCATCCGGTTCTCTTAGAGTTAACCTTTTTGACTAGATAGAACTCAGTAGATAGATCTAAGAAAATGTAACCTTAGTAGCAAGAAAAAAATCCCCAAACCACCCAACAAAAACTGCACAGAAACAATGTTAAGAATTGGGGATGGAGTAAAGAACAGGTATAAAGCGATATTGGTTTTCCATGCCCGTTGCTGTGTGCTGTTTTCTGATCTAAAATATAACATTTAAAAAAACCCAGAAGAACAGAAATGATGACTAGAACCGTGGAACTCCTTCCCTGTTAGGAGCAACAAGCTGAAAACTGGAAGACTGATATGGGAGAAGGATATGATTAAAGCCTACAAATATATTAATGTTATGATGGAGGTGAACAGGGAAAGAACAGTCATTAGATATTTCAATCAAGAATTGCAGGATACCAGGCCAAGTTGTCAGCTGACAGTTCAAAAATAATAAAAGATATTTCCTTGCATAGCACATGACTAAATTGCAGAAGTCATGCCTCAGTCCAACAAGTCGGTGTTCAAAATGCAGTGAAATAAATGAATGAAAATGGTGACTTTAGCACAAAGACATTGCCTTTGGCTGAAAAAATCCTAGATTCACAGATGGCTGCATTGGTCAATAGACTACATAGGAAGCATTCCTTTGTACTTGCCCTGTATTTCTGCTCTACTGTTATTTTTCTACCTTTAGTCATCATCAGAAAAGGGCTGCTGACTTAGTATAGCAATTCCTATTATATATTATTTTAAATATTATTATATTATATCTTTATTTCCTAAAATAAAGATAAAAATAAAAGTCTTGAATTTTCTTGGTATTTTCGGTACTAAAGCATTTCTTGTTTTGTCTAAAGACATTTCAGATAAAGGCATCTAAACTAAATTAACTGTGTGTCCAGCTTTTTATAGTGGTTTGACTGAATTTATTTAAAATCACTACCCTTTAAAGTAGGGAAGGTATCCATTCTTCCTTTTACTTTGCTCTCTAACTTTTTTCCTTAACTGCTACCATTTTATTGGGGATGAGTTTGGGGTTTTTTTTAAATGGTGTTCTCATCTGTCAAATGGCTTTTCCTTTTTTTTTTTTACATAAACTATACTGTGTTGCCTTCATCTGCTCTTTACTAGCCTTTAGAGCAGAAATAACAAAGAAGTTGAATTATCACGACCAAAAAATACTGCTTGAAGTTTAATTATTTTATTTTAATAGCAGGTTCCTCACCTAGCTCCAGTAGCAGCTCCTCTGTTAATCCCATGGCTTCTCTTGGAGCATTGCAGACGCTGGCAGGGGCTACCGCAGGCCTCAACGTTAGCTCTTTAGCAGGTAAGTTACGTGTTGTGGTGGGTTGGGGGAGTAGCTGATTAACATTCCTCAGCCTGTGCTAAATCTGGGGGGTTATTTTTTCTGCTCTCTGCTTTTTGTAATACTGCAGAGTATTTGAAAGGTTATCAGTCTGGCTCAGTGGAAGCACTCAGTCATCTTTTATTTCCTCTTTCTTATCCAGGAATGGCAGCCTTAAATGGAGGACTTGGCAGTGGTGGTCTTTCAAATGGGACAGGTAGCACAATGGAAGCCCTCACACAGGCTTATTCTGGAATCCAGCAATATGCTGCTGCTGCACTGCCCACACTCTATAACCAGAGTCTCTTAACACAGCAGAGTATTGGTGCAGCGGGAAGTCAAAAAGAAGGTAGGCAGACACCTGTAGAAACAACCTGAGAGGGGTTTTCAAAAGGGCAGGGTTAGCCCTTGCAGCTACGTTATCTGCAGATCTTTCATTTGGGGGCATTTTTTTAGAATCCTGGAGTTACTGAAGATAAAGAAGGAAAACCTGCACGATCTTTGTGTAAAGGGCTGCCCAAAGTAGATTTTGTACAGGAGATTTCTCACAGGATTTGTCTAGTCTTAAACACTTTGTAATCATACTCCTCCATTTCCTCAGGGGGAAGGAGGGGTATTAGTGTACAGTGTGATACATCCCACTGTCAGAGAATCAGATGTGGTTTTGTTAATGTCATTTTCTTGGTCCTTCACCTCTTCCCACAGATACTTATGCCAGTCTCTTCACTCTTCAGATTCAGGTTCAATTTAATATTTAGTGTAAAGTAATGAAGAATATAGGAGTAAGTTTACAGCAGAATATGTAGGATGTTTAGAAAAGAATCTTTCAGATTTAAAGCAGTACAGTTATTTGTATTTTGTATTGAGTTTCACTTGGTTGTTTTGGGACCACAAGCTTTGCATAGCCATTTTTGGTTTAGTCAACATCTGGGAGTCAAACTTATTATTTGGTCAAATATCTGTGTCTTGCACAATGTGTAAATTTCAAGCAAAAATGGTGAGAAAGAACTAGAATTCTTCGATCAATCCCTACAAAGAGTCATGCTAATTTATTCTGGGATCAGGTTCTCTGCAGGAGTGCGAACAACAGTTTCACTGTTTTATCCAGAAAATTTGGCTTGAGTGGCTCTTCCACCTTCTTTTGTGCAGTGGGCATATGTTATCCATGCTCTTTCTGAATTTCTATTCCTACTTGTCATTTGAAGGTCCAGAGGGAGCCAATCTGTTTATCTACCATCTTCCCCAGGAGTTTGGGGATCAGGATCTGCTGCAGATGTTCATGCCATTTGGAAATGTCGTCTCTGCCAAGGTGTTCATTGACAAGCAGACCAATCTAAGCAAGTGTTTTGGTACGTTGGATTTACAGCTTCATCACAAGGGGAAGTGGAGAGGCAGGCACTCATCTGTTCTCTCTGAGGACTCGTGACAGGACCCAAGGGAACAGCATGAAGCTGTGTTGGGGAGGTTTAGGTTGGATAGTAGGAAAAGGTTCTTCACCCAGGGGGTGGTTGAGCACTGGAACAGGCTCCCCAGGGAAGTGTCCATAGCACCAAGCCTGACAGAATTCAAGTGTTTGAACCATGCCCTGAGACATATGGTGGGATTCTTGGGGCTGTTGTGTGCAGGGACTTCAGTGATCCTTGTGGATCCTTTTCAATTCAGGATATTCTATAAATCGTTATCTGTAGAAAGGTAGCTTCTTTTTTGTAATCTCTTTTTCTGTATATTGTCTAGTCTAGCTTTAAGTCAAGTAGGGAGTCTTTCTCCATCTTCCTGAAAAAATAAGTAAACCAAACACTTCCAACAATAAACTGTGTTTTCCTGATTTGCACTGATTTCTCTTTTCCCAATTTCCTACTATCATACCTTGTTATATTCTTCTGGCCCTAGATAATTCGCCCTGAGATCAGCTCAGTGGGTTAGAGGATGGTGATGATAACATCAAGGTCATGGGTTCACACCCCATATGGGCCACTGACTTAAGAGTTGGACTCAGTGATTCTTGTGGATTCCTTCCAACTCGGAATATTCTGCGATTATGATTTGTGTTTGCAGACTGTAATCGTGGTATAGTTCCGTCTCTTCCCTCTTTCTGTCCTTTCAAAAATTGCTTGTGTTGCTGTATATACTACTTACTTAGTACATTGTAATTATGAATTATTTCTATTAATATATTTATATATAATTATTGAGGCTACCATATTGCATTCTTGTAGTGCTATAAGCTCTTGTAACTCTTCTGACAGATGGAGGTTCCTTGTGATGGAATAGAAGTGAGCCTTTCTCTATGGTTTTGATAGCTTTGTATCTACATCATACCCTGAATTTTTTTGTATTTGGGGCAAGAGGTGTGGACAAATATGATACTTTGTGAGAACACAACAATATGTTGATCATTCAACTGTAACACATGCATACTGTGGATAGGAAGCCATTAACTGGAGTGGATTATTATTCCCAGCTTATTTAAAATAGTCTCCTTCAAAACACTAGAGAAGTTTATTTTGAGGATGATCTTTTCCAGAAATGATATATAACTTGTCATCTGAGAGGAACCTAAACATAATAGTGGTACAAGTGCTACACTCCCTTGACAGCTCCTTCGCTTCAAACAAATCTGCTCCCATAATGTCACAAGGGTGACTTCAGTCTTTTATCTTTAATGAACTTTTGCATATAGATTAACATTTTCCACGTTTGGTTTTCTCCCATGTACGAGTTCTTATAAAACAAACAGCAGTACTCACTTTTGTTGATAGACTAGAAAATGTTATTTTAATTTCCTGCACTTCATGTGTCTCTTGGCCAAAGTTTCGTATGTCAGAAAGCAGTGATTTGTTTGAGCCCTTAGTAAGGAGTTATTGTGAAGAGTCTAAAACAGTTGTGAGCTTCTGAAAGTGGCATTTCATGCAGACCTCTCTGACCTTGTGAGTGCCTGCATTTCCAATTGTGAGAAGCTGTTTTGGGCAGCTTTGTCATGTTAATTATGTCTTTTCCTTTCTTCAGGTTTTGTAAGTTACGACAATCCTGTCTCTGCACAGGCTGCCATTCAGTCAATGAACGGCTTTCAGATTGGCATGAAGCGTCTGAAAGTACAGCTCAAGCGCTCTAAGAATGACAGCAAGCCATACTGAGCAGCCTCCCCTCCGGGACTGGAGTGAGAAGGATCTTCTGGTAAGTTGGAGAGGAGCGCACTTAAGTGATTCGAAGCCCTAAGGCTGTGTTTTTACAGTCCTGGAAGCTGATCCATGCCTTCTATCTGGCACATCTTCCCTTGAAGACTCTGCTGCAGCCTCTGCTGAGAATCCCGCTTCGGATGGAGGACAAGTTTGTGCTTTTGTTTCCAGTGTTTTACTTTGGAGTTTAGGTGCCATATCGCTGAGGTTTTTTTGTTTAGTTTTGGGTTTTTTTTCTCCCTTATTTGAAGTTTGCTGTGTTTGTAACCAGTGTGTGTTGAGAAGGACCAATGCCAGCTCCTTGTGGGTGGGGAGGGAAGGTTAAAGGGAGCAGCAGAAACTGACACCACACTGCCTTGGGTAGAGAGGAGAAGGGAAAGCAGAAATAACACAGAACAGCTGATGAAAACAAAGATAGGGAAGGAGAACAGTCTCGGGTGAAGAAGAACCGCCTCCACGTAGCCTTTGTCATGCCCCATCCACTCTTGGAAATCTCCTTAACTATATGCCATGGTGGGGATTTAGTAAATCATCTCTAAAGCAGAATACAGGCTAAAAGGGTAAACACATTAACAAGCCAAAGGAAAACTGCAGTGTTGTGGTTTTGTTGTTTGTTGTTTTGGGGTTTTTTTTGCTGTATATAAAGTAGTGTTTATATAGCACTGTGAATGTACACAGCACTTTATAAAATTATTAGATAATGTCTTTGCCCAGAAAATTTCACTGTCCATTTACGGTGGAATATTAATGAGATGCAGTGAATTTCTTCATATATAAGAAACCATATCCTATGTACTTCATCTAGGTTTTGTGGAAAGGTAGAGACAACTTAGTCTGGATGAATATATCTGAGGCTGGAAACAAACTTTTGGTCCCTGGTAACCTGCAGAAGTTTTTTGACAATTTTTCTTCTTAACAGTTGATCACATTCCCCGTTTCTGTGGAATAATGTCCTTTTTTGCAGAGATAGCTATAAATATCTGCTCATAAGCATAATGTAAGTGCTGATTGTTTATTGAAATGATAACTTCCTGTTTTGTTGAGGGGTTTTTTTGTTGTTTGTTGGGTTTTTTTAACAAACAAAACAATTTGTGCAGTGACATGGTCTAGTAATTAGGTGTTTCTTTATACTGCAGTTTTCCTTTAAGGTGGTGTGTACCAGTGCAGAACAGGCTAATCCAGGAGCTGTGGAACCAGAGTATTGAGCCATTCAGTCTTTTGCTGCCTTTTGGTACTAGCTGTTATCTTCTCTATTGAAGGAAAATTGAACACACCCTTAAGTGTACACACACTTATTCTGCATATTAGTGTAATTGCTAATGCCTTGCTAAGGGTTTTTTGTTATTCACTGGTTTTAGGAGGCTCAAAGGACTTTTGACACTCTGGCCTGAGCTGTTATAAGAAATCGGTGTAGAGTTCCATTTTATAACCACCAAAATCCACCTCTGTCACAAGAGGAAGTTTACAATTTCTGTATGTCTTTAATAGAGGTTCAGTTTACCTCATATTTTCTTCTTTTCCTTGTTTTCTTTGTATTCCTGGTTTGTGAGGCTGTTTCCCAAGGCACCAGCTAACACTGCAATCTGGGAGCCAGCTGCTAGATGATGAGTGCCTGGGTCAGAGATGGGGTCAGAAGTTTGTTTTCTGCTCCACCAGGAGGAGCACTAAACCCATCAAACCTGAGATCTCAGTCAGAATCCCCACTTGTGTGCAATGATCTGTTGGGAATGTCAGGCATTTCCAGGAACTGGGCCCTCTGTGCTCTCAAACCTCAGAAAACAAGGCCTGACCTGTACCATCCAAGGGGAGCCCTTTTCACTCTTAGATTGAAAATCCAACAGTTGATGTCAGTCTGTCCATATTGATGGCAGACAGATAAATCTGTCAGTATTATTCAAATCATTTTGTGGTGACAAAGTTTCAAAGGCCAGATTGCCAAATTTCCCAGTTATGCTGGCATGTGGTACCCTTCTATGTTAATTATTTGAATCTCTCTAGAAACGTAAACATACACTGAAGTGAACCATGTACACTTGAATTCTGCACCACGGGAAAGATGTGTCCTGGTTTTCTGAGAAAAGAGTGTTGGAGTGTGAAGGCCTCCAGGGTGATAATGGGATTTTTTTATATATATATAAATAATATACTTTTCAGAAAAAGAAAAAAAAAAAAACAGGAAAAAAAAACATAGTTGGGAGCAACTGCTCCAAGTGCAACCTGCTGTAACCAAGAATGTTGTTTCTATTTTTATAGAAGTTTTATACCGCTCCAGGGTGGAGAATATTTATTACCTAAATTATTTCACTGGAAAAAAAGGCCAGGGTTTTGTAGAATCCTGAATGTGATTGTTTAACACACATAATGATGTGCATGATTGAAACTACTGATTTTCAGTGGCCTGTTTGCAGCCCAACAACTGCTAAATGAGGAAGATGAATGCTGTGAAGCAGTGGAGGAGAGCACTGTGCTCTGGGGTCTCTACAGTCACTCTTACATTCTGTGCACCCTACCCCACTGTACTGTCCAAGACCTTTGTCCTGTTTTTCTTTTAACCTGATGCTCTGGCCTCTCTACTAGTCATTTCAGTTGCCCAAAATTAGATATTTTAGCTTCTTCATCCTATAGTGTGTCCTCAATACTGTAACTGATGGATCAAGCTTGGCATTGTTGCAAATAGGTGTGACTCCTATTGACTTCAGGAGATTCACCAGTTTACACTGTGGCTTAGTTTGATCAGTGACTCCTCCCAGACATAATCACCTTAAAGTCACCTAACTTGGGCTAGCTCTTGTGCCTTACTGGCATAACTATAAGTATTGCCAAAAAGAAAAGGAAAATAAATCTATGCAGGTTAAATTTTAAAAGATGTGATCCTCAGATGGTTTGAATCAATGCAGTTCAGCTCTCTTCAGTAGAGCTGCATCAGTTTTCACCAGCTGAAGATGTTGCCCTTTTTTGTGTATTTGTTTCAGATTTCCCTTTCTTGGTGTATCAATGTGTATGTTGCCAAAGTTAATAAATGTATCAAGTTTGTGACTTGGGCAGATTTTTTTTCTGTTAACAGAACTGATCAGATAAAGTCAACATTTCTGTGTCTGTTTGGTGGCTGCCGCTGATTATGGAGATTTAGGCTGCTCTTGCTTTTCAGTCTTAAGCCAGTTTTCTTCCTCACTCATTGGCAGAAAAGTCTGGGATTTGGGGTACTTGGGGCTTACATATTTTATTTTATTCTTAATTCATATCATGCTCTCATTCAAGTGCAAATCAAATCAGTGTCAAATAATTTATTTCCTGGATAGCAAGATAAAAATTGGTTGGGTTCAAATAAACTGCAGAAGGTTGCCTGAAGTAGCCACATAGACAAAGTATGCTGTATGCTTAAAACCAAAGAACCTGCATTTTCCACAACAAAAACTAGAAGGACTTCAGATGAAATACAGTTCCTTATTACACGTGCAACCAGCAAATATTGAACATATCTTAAGTTACAAGGTGTGATTATCTACTTCATAGATTTATTTTTTTCTCAGGAGATACTTGATTTTACTGCTGTAATAAGGTGAAAGTATTACGAACTTAGTCTGACACTACTTAGTGTCAGTATTATAGTAATTGAAATCGCAGGTTTTTCAGTCCCCCAGATAATCAGCAGTCCAAAATAGGATAGCTCTTTGAAATTTAATTTTTTCTTCCAGTAATGCAAAGCTTGCATTATTAAAAAATTCCTTTGATAGAAAGTAACTAAAATTTAATCCTAAACAGAATGAGGATTGGAATATTTTGGAAATATTTGATTCAAAAATGGGGAATATCTATTTATGTTTTGTTGGTAAGGTAGTTTCCTAGCTGTGGACATTGCTGTCTGGAAAACAGGCACCTCAGAAAACATTTCACTGGCAAATACATGTATCAAGAAAAAGCTTTCACCTGAATACTGCAAGTCATGTAGCATGATAATTCTATTGTGCAAGCTGAATCTAACCAAACTGTTCTTTCTTGTTAATGATTGTGAGTTAGGGAAGAACAGCCAAACAGAATGAAGGTGTTCCTGTTTCATTTGGAAATATCTAAAAACAACTTGTATAAAGCAAATTTCAAATGAAGGCTGCAACTATGAACATGTAAAATGCTTTGAAAGCCTCTTGTTGCAGGCATTTAATGTTTTATGTCCCTGAGCATACCTAGCACAAAATATGAAACACAGAAGGCAGATTTATCACTGTTGCGAAAACTAAGCAAGGACAAACTGGAATAACTTTCTCCAAGTCTTTTAAGTTCTTGTCCAGCATCTCATGGTTCTGTTCTTGTAGGCCAGTCTTTCCATAGGACTTTGATGAAACTTATTCTTTCCTCTCAACATTACTAAGTGAAATATTTGAAAAATTTCTATTAAAAAAAACTCAGACAAATCACACAGGGGATTTGGATGGTACATGCATAGACGTGACTTGATTTCATGCTCCTTATTGTTTTTCATGCCTCAGTTCATGAGAACTTGCCTTTCTAGTTTAGTAGTGAAACCTCACACTTGTCTGCAAACTATCTAGAGTATTTCTAGAAATATAGAAATAACTGCGAGAGTTGCATTGTACTGTTTGCTGGAGTTGGTTTAAACTCTATACTAAGTCCTTTCCTTTTGTGGGAAAGCATGAAGAGCAAATTAATCTCAGCAGTTCTAATAAGAGGAGTGTTGCCAGTTTAGTGGACAATGTGCTTCTTGTTTCTTTGGAACTAGAAACAACACTTGTTATTCTCAAATATGCTATAAATGCTGTAAGATAATATGCAAATCTCACCTTGTTCTAGTCTCTAACCAGCAGCTTTGACATGTGCTGAAGACTAAGGCCACAAACAGGAGGGGAATTGGAGGAGTGGGGAGGCAGGAAAAGAAAACATCACTTCCTCTCTCCTCTACCTCCCACTCTCAACCCAAAATGTTCCTTGTCACTTGCAGATCACAAACTGAGGGGAGGGAACAGAGGTATTTATATCAGTTAATGTAAAAATTACTTTTATATAAACTCTTCAAGAAAACTTCAGGAAACACATTTTTTTCTGCTCATCAAACTGGCAACAGTGACTGTAGAGCTTCTCAGAGCCCAGAATCCCCTCCTCACGAATTCAGGGAGCTGGGGGCAGTTACATAAAAAGTTGGGAACGGAAAATCCCTGTGCAGGTCTAATGGTATGAAAAGTGCGCAGCTAGGACAAGTCTTAACTTGCAGTCAAGTCTTAAAGAATTCTTCTCTGATGTGTGGGCTTTTTGTCTTGTATAATTTTTTTTTTCCCCTTTTCCAAATCACCTACCCCCAGTTTCATGGGCTCCTAGGGGATGAGAAGGGACTGTAGCTGAAGGACTTGCTGGGCTACTACTGCCTAAGAACTTCCAATGTTAGAGTGCAAGAAAAGTCTCAACCGTCAAACCACCTGTGAATCCCTTGTGTCCTCTGTCTTGTCTCTCATGGTCTCAGTCTCTGTGGCCAAATGTTAGCCCTGGAGTCATATTTTTTTGAATCGGTCTCCTGGGGAGGGAGCCTGCTCCGTTCTTCTCCTAAACAGAGGTAGTGGAGACACTGGGCACGGGGTAAGGTGATTGCATGCTAATCAATGTGTCACTAGGCTGTGGAATGCTCCACAGGCTGGGTGCTGAGAGGGAAATCCAGGCCTCTGCTTCCATTTGGTTTCTGGCAGTTTGATGTTTACTTGGTGTCCTTCATGTACTTTGACTTTTACTTGTCCATCGTTGGCATGTGCTGCCCTTCCCTGTCAACTCCCTTCCCCAGGAGATCTCATTGTACAGTGCCCATTCTTGTTCTTTCTCTCTGTGTTTGGATGTACTGCTCTGTGTAACTCAGTGGGTCTCCCTCTTTCTGGTTTGTTTTTTTTTCTAGATTCCTGCCGTTTGTTCATCGTTGTGCCTAAAGCATGTCGATGTGGCGTTCAAGTACATCGTCCAAATCCTTGTCTCTTCAGCTTCTCTGATGCTTGAACTCTCACCTTTGACCTTGTGTTGACCTTTGATGCTGATGTGTATTTTTATTACGTTTGTTTCTTTCCTTTTTTTTTTTTTGTGCTGCCAAATTGGTTTTGCTAGAAAGACTGCTGAAGGGGAATATTTAAACTTGCATTTGAATATAAAAGAATTTCTATTTTTCTAGACCTTCGTAAGATAACCACTTGATTTTGTGAATTTGATTCTTTGTAATTGTCTTCAGAGCAGCCTTGCTAGCATACCTTGTGGAGTATTTGTATTTCTGTGAACATACAGCCAATCACTTTCTAGGCTTAGTTTTTTCTGTGTGCTTAGTTTTAAAAACACAGTTCGAAGAAAAAGTCAGTTATATGGTGTGACTTAATCTTTCAGGAGACTTCTTAGTCACATTTTGCTGATTTGGTTTCTGTACTTGAGGAGACAGCATGTGTTTTTATGAGTTCAAACTTGTGACTTGAAGTGGCATCAACAGAAAACACTTGAACTACATTTTCTTCTGATTGTAGCTACATTTTTGCCCTGGCATTTACTGATTTTTTTTTTTAATTATTATTATTTTTCCCTCGCTTCCCTGTGTGATTATCAGTCTGCAGTGAAAATTTGATCAAAGTTGATGTTGTATTTTGTTAAGCTCCAGCATGCTTGGTTTCTTTGTAACTACAATCTCCTCAGCAAAATGTGATGGTTTTGTTTTAATCTTTCAAACTAAGATAGTGCCCAGAAATGTTTTGCATGTTTCCTGCTGTTTCTTCACACCCTCGTATATATCACCTTCACCTCTCTGTTTTCTATAGTTTGTGCAAAAACTGAGCAATTTAATGGGTTTCAAAGGTATCCTTTAAATTGGTGGTTTTGGTATGACAAATATCTGATCAGAAGCCACCTGAGGGCATCTACCTGTGCACTTAGACTGTCTGCCTGACAGAGCACCTGGACCTTGTTCCATATCCAGTGCTGTCAGAGGCTCTGAGGGTGCTTGGTTGCACTACTCATGTAGTGAAAGTTTTGGTGGAAGGGGATAGCTGGGAACAGGAAGGTGGGGGAACTTCACAATATTTCAGTTTCCAAAGTTATGTGAAGCCAATGCTCCTTTCAAACGCTTTACTATAAGCATTTTGTACAAGTCAGGGCACATTTCTGTGAAGTCCATCCCCAGTTTAATACCATCAGTCAGAGCTTGGTGGCAGGATTCTGGAAGAATCTAGGTTAGCTCATGAAACGAAGTGTTTAAAATATCCCAGAGAAAGCATTTGTAAACCTGATCCTATAACTGCTGGCTCTTTTCCCAAGTGACAAGCACAATTCAACAGCCTCTGAAGCTGTTACCTGAACAGGGTACCATCCCCAGCTCTCTTCTCAAGGGCCTTAGCTGGGGAATCTCTGCGGAGATTTTTTAATTTTTGTTTAGTTTTTAATTGGGTAATGAGCTGAGCAGTTTTGCTGGCTTGCAGGATGAACTAGAACAGGTTACTGCTCTCTGGGTAGCAGGCTTCCCCCTGCCCTACGTATCCGTCTGCACAGGTAGGAACTGGGAAGTAGCTTGTAGATGAAGGCACCTGAAGAGTGTGTGCTGTGATGAAGTTTCAGTCAGCAGCAGCAAGCTAGTGTAGGTATCTTAACAGTAGAAATAATGTGAAATGAAATCCCAGGAGAAGGGTTTTTGCTGAGAAAACAAATAGAGTTTGATTGGATAGAAATCATAATTTTGTCCAGTGTTCAGGATAATGCAAAGATGTAAAGATTTTTTTCTACCCTAGTCCTGAGTTGGATGAGGATACTGTATTCTTAATAGGTGTTGACCAGACTTGTGTAGACAGTCCTTAATCTGCTTATAAAACATAAAGAACATGTTTGGATATGGTACATATACCTGGGAGTGAAACGTGAGGCTGGATGAGAAAAGGGTAGAGATTTATTTATTTGGGAAGTAGGGTTGTGGGCTGGCTGCTGTTAGTCCCACAGTCTGAATGCACAGGGCTGTGTGCCGGGGGGCACTGATACCCTGCAGTGTATGGAGTAACTATCAATATGTTTCTGTACATGCGCATTTGGTTCCATAAGGAACTTTGGGGAAACCTGTGGAAAATTATCTGAAGAAAACCAAAATGCCAAATGTTGGGTGTTTCTTTCCTTTCTTCTTTCCTTTTCTTCCTTTGGTTGTTTTAATTGTTCTGTGGTGGTTTTAATGGATTTGAGACAGTGGAGCAGCAGCTGCCTTTCTGATTTTTGGCTGCTTTTTGTGAATAATTTAAAAAGAAAATTTACATTTTGGAGACAAACCTGTGGGCTTTTTTATTGGTACAAACATTGTATTTAACACTAGGGGTTTTGTACAGTTTTTTGCCTTTTCTACTAGAAAACAATGTAAAGTGATTCACAATGTGACGAGAAAACAAATTGCCACTATGACCAAATGTAGAGTCTGTTCTGCAGTAACAGGATTTAATCAACTCGAAGTCGTGGTTCAGTTGTAGAAATGCTTTTCTTTACCTTGTTTGAGCTGTTCCTTTTTTTCTTGTTTTGATTTGCAAAACAAAATGTCTTTTTGTGTGAAATTGTGTTGTACTCTGTAGAGAATTTACTTTAATGGTTTAAAAAGCAGAGGAGCGCATGTTGCTTTTCTGATCTGATCACAGAGTTTGTGTAGTGGATTTAAAAATGAAAAGATTTGTTACAAGTTTGGAACAAGCGAGTATGTGTTAAAGGAATTTTCTTCCTTTTGTGTGTGTGTGTGTTTTTTTTTTCTTTTTGTCCCAAAGGGCAACTTAAAGCTGTTTTAATTGCACAGACACACCAACAACAAGTCATTTTGTATATGCCAAGTGTGGTACCTTCCTTTGTTTATTTGCTATTAAACTGTTTGAGAAGAGTCCTTGTGTGTTGTATTTGTGTCTTAAATTTGAGGTTCTTTTGGGGTCCAAGCATGGGAAGATGAGGAGAGAGAACTATTTTCCAGTTTCTTGGCTGCGAGCCACAAAAATTTTCATGGCCCAATACCACTTGTTCTGGATGTACAGTATAGCCCTGGATTTTAACCTTCCATGTAGACAAGCTACTTTGAGTAGAAATTGAAAAGATTTTTTGGTTGATACATCTCTGCTTTGTATCATTTGAGAGCCAAGTCCCCTTTAGACATTAAATACAGAGAAACTGAGAATCTTGGATTATGTGAATACGTGTTACACTGCAGAGTGAGGTGTAGGCATATCCAGCCTCACCGAATTGGTGCCATGTGGCCACTTGCCTGTCCATGCACTGCATTTAATGGAGTTTCAAAGGCTAAATACCTTCAGCGTAACACCAGACTCCAGCAGGAACAGCACATGTGCGTGGTGGTGTGTGGGATTAGGCACCAGCTGATACTGCTCTCACAAGCCCCATACCCACCACCGCCTCCTTACCCCTTCCAGGAACATGGCCAAGCTTGCTGAATCTGTCCTGGTTCTGCAAGATGAAGGTATCTGCAGCCCCCAGTGCTCCTGGTCCTGGAAATACTGCATAGGAACTCCAAATGGATTTGGATTACTGACTAGTAATAAGCAAAAGCTGCCTGCTTTGTGGTTAGAACTAAGATACTTTACAACTCATTTCAAATTAATAAAAAATTTCTAGCATAGCCAAAACATAATTCATTGAGAAACTTGCCACAAGTTTGACATTAACAGTGCCTCTCTCAGAAGGAACGTACCACAATGGCCACGATTTTGCCACATTTCTGAAAGCTCCTAAAATTCCATGATGTTACTCCTTCCTCCTGCCGTCTTGCATCTCAGAGACTACAAGCATTTTCAGAGCAGCTATGTTTCTCCTCTGTGTCCTTTTCCTCAGTTATCTGGCATACTCTGTTTCACCCCATTACTTCCTACAGGATTGTAAATCTGAGAGCATTTTCAAGCCTCAGGGTTCAGTGCTGCATTCCTTGCCCTGCAGCGCTCCAATTGCGAAGTGAGGCGCTGAGCCACCTGTTACAGAGTGTGCTGGGATCCCTGCAGTTAATTTGCAGCTGTTGAGAAGAGAGGCTGGAGAGATTTCAGTTGAGATACGACTTGAGGTGAAGGATGGAGAGAAACAATTGAATCAGAAAAAGGGGTTTTTTTAGGCAGAATGGAAGATTCCAGCTTGTGCAAACAGTTCACTAGGCTGGCCTTGCACAGGCAAAGCTTTGTCAGTTGCATCTTACAGAACTGACACTAGGTGGTGGGAGGGGGTTGTTTGTTTGTTTTTGAAAGTTTCTTCTTTAATTTAAAAGGCTACCACAAATAAGTAGACAATTAAACTACAAATAAAAGCCAGTGTATTAATCCCTGAAAATAATAAGCATTTTCAGATGAGTTGTTACATTGGTCAACATCAGTAGGAAATACATAGAGTTGTAGGTAAAATCTTGATATTGAATGTTTTAGGAGAATTTTTTTTCCTTTCACATCCACCTCCACTTCCACTACTTGTTTGGGCTCCTGTCTCTCACCTGCCTGACTTTACCAGCCATGTTCTGCTGTCTTCATATAGCCAGGAGTCACCAGGGCCTTGTTATGAAGAGCAGTGGGGAGAAGGACAAGCAGCTTGGTGTGGTCACTCTGAAGAAGTGAATGCACGATTAGCCACACTGCATATATAGCTCTGCTGCGTGACAGGTGAGATTCCATCATTGGGTATTTCCAGGCACCATCAGGCTTATTTATTTGCACGTCTTGAGAAGCAACTGGGGATCATTTACTGTAGAAGCTGTACCTGAATCTTGTATGAACTAGAGCTGTCTTGAGCCACAGACCAATGCCATTACTTTTTTGAAGCAGTACGGGCAATCAGTGTCAATCTTTAATCCCTCCTTATTTAGGCAGGCACTATCTTCAGAGTGGGATGTTCCATTTCAGAGCATGTTCCTAGTTTTTGAAGATGACCAGATTGAACTTGATGGATCTAGCCCTTATTTTACTAGGGTAAGTTTTTATCTCAACATGTGAGTTGTGAGTTGATTTCTAAGAGACTAAGCACTATTTCATAGAAGAACTCAAAAGCAAGGAAGTCCAGTGTGATTAACAAAATTCACGACAGATCATTTCCTGTTAGGTGGGTTTTGTCAGGCTGCAGGGCATCCCGTGTTAACTTTGGCTGTGCTATGTGGGGAAGGAGCAGTGCTTTGCTGAGTGGTCCTAAAGCATCAGAATGAGTTTGAGTTACAGGCAGGTCACTTGTGGAAGGTTAATTTTGGAAAGTAGTCTGATTTAGCAAAGAATTTTTGTTTTCCCCCTTCTTGCGTCCTGGCTTGATTCTGTTACATAGCAGGCTCCAGTGTTGCTTCCCTGGCCTCTTAATTTTATGGTCTCACCATTATCAATGCTTTCCATGGGGACTGATCTTCAGGATCTTGTCTCCATCCCACCACCCACCCCCAGAGGGAAATACAAAAATTACTGCAAGGAAGAGAGACTTTTTAAAATTCTGAATTGGACTTCTATGGGAGTCTTAAAACTTATAAAGTCACTAGATAATAATTTAATGGTGCTGATGAAGTGATTTCTGCACATTAACCGCTGGTATTTTTCTTCAGCTTTTGTAGATTTTTTCCACAGTTTCTACTTCCATAGTTTGAGAGTACACATAGTCTGTGCTGAAACATCATCTAGCACATCACCTTTCTGAAAAACAATGCTAAATGAAATAACACAAATATCATAGCATATATAAGCTCCCAAAAGAGAATCAGTGTGATTGAGTAAAACTCTTCTACAATTTAATATACTTTTCTTTTGAAAATACTTTTTCTGAGGAAATTTTGCATAAAGGCACAGATGTAATCTCTTAAGATCGTAACTGCTATGATGTAAAGCCTCAGGGTAGACTATGGTTCCTTATTTTGTGTCCTGCTTTCCTTAGGGATATTTATTGCCTCAGGAAGGCACCCTTGGGTTTGTGTTGACACAGGTCAGGATGGTCCAATTGGTGGCCTGTGAGGTAATTCTGCTGGTATTTACCTGTGCTTGGGGAAGAACTGCCACCAAAGTCAGATGGAAGCAGGGAGGCAGCTGGAGACATGCCTGCTTTTACAGGTGGGTCTGTTATTAAAACTCCAAGTTGCAATTGCTTCTCTTTCCCTAGTAAAAGGATCCCAAACCAGGTCCCTGGGACTTCTGTGTTGAAAAAACATTAGATATCCCTGAGGCATTCTCCACCTGCCCTCCCACCCCCAGGTTTGGTGTATCTTCCTAGGAAGGACAGAGTCAGTCTATAGACAGCCAAGGCTGTGTCTATTAAAAATGCAGCACATCAATAAGGGTATGAAACTTTACTCCTAGAGGAACCAGTCTAACTTTTATGTTTTCAGTGGAGTGTGGGAGAGTTGAATCTTTATTCTGATTGGGCTAAGAATTCTCTCATGCAGTCAGAAAGTGCAGAAATCTGTTGCTCTGTGTCTTTATTGTCATTCATCATGAAAGATCAGCAAGTTCTGGATGCAGAGTGTCAGCAGTGCCTTTGACGACTTCTGTTAGAAACTCTTGGAGGACTGCCACAGGCATCTGATGGCAGGAAGCAACAGTCAATCAAGAATAAAGGTTTTCAGGATTGTTAGCTTCTTGTTTCTGAAATCAGGAAGTCAGTCCTTTATTTGCAGCAAATCTGTGACAGAACTGACCTGTGTCCACAGAAACAGTCCATGTTGACAGCTGAGGTCTTCACAAGGGAAGCTGAATTTTGTGCCTAGCAAAGCATCAGGCACATTGTTGCAAGTGCATTCATCTGGTCCATACCTGACTTTTTAAGGCATGTATTTTTCCTACTATTCTACCTGAGTCTGCTGCCTCCTAGGCTAGCCCACCACCAGCAGAGCATGTCAAAGAGGATGGCCAGAGAGAGAGGAAAGAGACAACTGAGGCATCCCTGTGACTGCAGCCGATTGTCTCTCCCTGGGGTATTTATAAGCTGCATACTAGTGGGCAGGGGTGGGCAGTTGGCACACTGTGACCTTGGGAGCTGAGGAGCCTGACTAACATTCCTGGGAGCCACGTGAGCCAGACTGGCAGGAGCAACTGCAGCCAATGGGGAGGAGACCAGCACTGACTGCTCAGATTGAGTTTCACTCCTGTTGCTTGAGATTTTTCTCTTTCTCTCCGTGTTGTGCTTTTCGTCTTTGTTTATGGGATTGGACAGACAAATGCACTGATGGAGCACTAGCGAGGAAGATCTTTGCCTAGTGGATTTGGAATTCTGCCTTCAGTGCTGAGCAACCACTTCTTGCCATTGCCTACCACAGCTCCAGCCCCCTGACATGGCTGGGCTTCTACAGCTCTGGGCCTTCTGAGCACACAACCTGCCCTCCTCTAGTGGGGCTTTTTACGTTGTGTTCTCTTGTAAGCACTTCCTTTTTGCTGTCCTTAGAGGTTAGTGTATGAGGCTTTTTAATGCATGGGAGATGGGTCAGGACCAGACAAAACAGCAGATAGAGAAAGGACTTCATCTTTATCAGTCTAATCAGACCGAAAAGGCCTTGCGAGTCTGGATGAGGGTTTTGGAGAAGTCTGCGGATCCTGCTGGCAGGTTTCGTGTTTTGGGTTGCCTCATCACTGCTCATGCAGAGATGGGCAGATACAAAGACATGCTGAAGGTAAGGCAAACTGGAGATGAATGCATGCCATTGTGTCTCACCCACTATGGAATGTGGCTGGAGATTAGAACCTGGAATCGGGGTGGGGGGGAGTATTTTGTATATAACAGAAAACACCAGCTATTGAGCGCATCTTGTGGGCTGCTGTAATTACCGTGCTGAGCAGTAACTCCAGCCCACAGGATATACAGAATATTTTTCACTGCGTCTGGTCCCTTGGGATTCCTGGGTTATTTAGGTTCTCCAGTTGATCATGGAGACTTTTC